GCCTAAAGTGATTCATACATTCTCCACTTGCAAATGTGTACCCATAACACACCGGATAAAAACTGTTTTAACATCAGCAACTAAAATAGAATTGAATTGAATCCTCAAAGTGATGCCAGCTAGTTTTGAGACTCACTAGACAGATTATTATTTTATTTTTTCGACAAAAATGGCTCTTTTGATGCTAAAGGTTGCTGACCCCTGGGATAAGATACAAAACATTCTGGTTTACGTATGATATGTATAAGAGTTGTGAGTCCATGGTTTTAAAAATATGTTGCAAATGGACAAAATGTGCTGATTTGATTGATTTCCCTTCCTGATATGAACAGCTATATCCCGAATGTGAATTTAAATATAAACCCTCAGAGGAGAGACTGCGATTTTAAACCATGTATTCCTCCATTCAGCTGAGGAAAAAAATTCTAAATTTGACAGTCATTCTTCCTGTAAGGGTGTGTTGCCACAGGCCAAGTGCGCTGTTGTGTAAACAAGACCTGTGAAGCAATGGGAGAGAGAACCAGAGAGTGAGACAAGTATTGCGTAAGTAAGCCTGTGCTTTGTGTTTTAAAAAAAAACGGTGAAGAGAAAATAGCAGCCTGGGAGACTAAAAGTAACCTCTCCAGCACAGATGGTCCCCACGCTTTCCGCCAGTGGGTCAGTGGGTGAGGGAAGAGTGGAAGGGAGTGGAGGCGAGTGGAGAGGCTGTGGCCGTACGCCGCTATCCAGGGGAGAGTGTGGGCGACGCGGGCAGCAGGAAAGAGAAAGACAAGGACTTCCAAGGCCAAGTGGGCCGAGGCTTGCAGGATACACTGCTAAAAACAGACGTGATGACGCTCGGAGGTCAGCCGGCTGATTTGTCATCAGCTATTTCAGCAATGTTAAACAACTGACGAGGGAGAAGGGAAAAATGTCGACATCACCAGTGCTCACATCACTTCTTGCCCCCACATTCTTCCGATTGTGCAATTATAAAGGCAGAAGAATTCAAACACTGTTTCCTGGGTTTAAGATTGTGCCATATTTGGTAACCAGGGCCATGCTGGTGTCAAAGTGGAAGAAAACTTGTGTCATAGCATCACCATTAGGTGGCCTCTGGTCCTGCTTCTGGTCAGAGTATCTATCTCTCCTCTCCTCTCCTCTCCTCTCCTCTCCTCTCATGGCACAATGTCCATTCAGTCCTCATGAATAAGTGATGAATGACTCTGGTGAGCCACTGATGAACTTTGTGATGCATCATCACTTTCATACAGTGGAATCACTTAGACACAAATCTATAGTAAATGACTAAACTTCAATTGAGGAAGATAGAAATATTTCTAACTTTTGACCCGTAACCAGAGATGATTGTACCACCCTTTAATGCAATGTTGAAACAAGCAAACGGTGTACTTTGCATCACATAGGAATGAATAAACACCTTTCACACTCCTACTCCCTACAACCACTTGTTACAGTGAGGACCTGCTCAGCCTACACTGTAATGATCTGTGCAGTATCAATGAGCTGCCAGCAGAGAGCAAACAAGACTACTGTTTACACTGTAGCTGTGTGTTTGCTGTGGCAGGAGCCGGAAACATGATGTAATTTCCAGTAAAAGATCTGAAGAATAATAGATAATATTAAACACGATTAGTCAGTCACTCAACAAAGTCCAAACTCCTACAATCCACCATGGCTATTTAAAGAAATGTGTTGGATGTGGGTGAGCTAACCATTAAAGCACAATAAAAAATGTAATAAAAAAGGGCCTTAAAGGTCCAGTGTGTAACATTCAGAAGGACCTATTGAGAGAAAGAGATTATAATATTCATAGGTATGTTTTCATTAGTGTATAATCACCTGAATATAAGAATTGTAGTGTTTATGTTACCGTTGAATGAGACATTTTTATCTATATCTGCAATGTTGATCCGCTGCCATAGAAAGCTGAGCTGTATTCAGTTGTTTGCAATCTGCAAACTAGTTATTGAAGGTGGCCCCTACCTAAACATGATCCAACACAAGTCAAAATGTATTTTTACTAACTTATTTCATATGATAGTATGCTCATCCACTGCATATTTCAAGGATTTAAAGAATCAAATCAAGGAAATGTATTCATCAAACAAGGTCATTATTATTATTATTATTATTATTATGTGATGATTTTGGGGGCCTTTATTGGCTTTATTTGATGGGGCAGCTAATGACAGGAAAGTGGAAATGATATGTAACAACTGGCCACATGTTGGAATCAAATCCGGACCACTGCTTGCATGCTCAACCAGGTAAGCTACCGGGGAACCTCCATCTTTCGAAATAAATTAGTATTTAGTCAAATAATCACAAAATTGACACTATAAACCAGAGGCTGGTTAGTATTTGAGGCCTATAAGGGGGGCCCACAGCTCATTTCTGCCCTATGGCCCCATAGTGGTTTAATCTAGCCCTGACAGAAAAGTCTGAATATGGTTTAACTTTATTCAAAAGATATCCATTCTTCAGAGAGACTTGTAATCTCTCTGAAAATGGAGCAGTTTGGGTGAAGATGAGATGTTTTTCAGGTTCTTGTTAGCTCTAGACGAGTTTCGAAGGATAGCGTATCAATAGAAAAACATTTTATCTGCCTTATATGACGGATATATATCATCTTCAGACTGACAATTTCTACATGAATTATGGAGTTTTTAAAAAATATTGTTTAACAGTTTGACTATTATCCTATCGTCAGAGGTCATATTAGTAACACTCAATTCCACTACTCCCCCACACCTCCCCCACACACATACAATGCTGTTCAAAGGATTTGTGACTCTCTGTACAATCAAGGATCTTTGTTTTGATGTAATCCGTTTATTCCTCGCCTCCAAAAGGATACAAATGCTGCCCTCATGTGGCCAGAAACGTACAGACAACAAGCCACAAAATAGCTTTCTGTAATAGTTTGACAAGGACTGGACATCATCATAATCATGTTGTATGTTTGCTTTTGTCATCATTTTGGACACTTTATCTTTATTAGACAAATAAACTCTTGTAATACGGTGTAACACAGGCCTCTGGTATTGCCAGCTTGTTGGCTATATTCAGCAGCAAATTGGATTTGCATTGAGCTTGACCTGGAGCCAAGCCACAGGTTACTTGGAAAGTTTACCAGGTCATTGACCGGAGGTGTTAAGTGAGAAAGCCTATCACACATGAAAAAACCAAGTGAGCCAGAAGCCTTTAAAGGCACAGCAGGCTGTTTGTGTGTTCGACAGCAGCAGTGGAAACGCTGGCTAAAACTACAGTTACCATAATAAACACATTAATTTTACACTTACAACAGCAGGTTTTGGGAATGAACAGTGCCAGATATGGGAACATGAGCAGTGATAGCCTGCATGAATGAAAACACATCTGCAGAAACTTGTTCACTGTCATCTAAAAAAGTTCAAAATGAAAAACCAAGACAACACATGCAGCCACAGTGCAGGAGAAGTGTGCAACACATGCACACATGCAACAACATCTTAGAATAGACAGTGTTTGCAAAGAATGACATCACTGAAACTGGATGCCCCACTTACACCAATTATACCTGACATACTCTCCTTCTTCACATCTCCATCTGCCTCTCTCTCTCTAGTTTCCCGAGAAGGTCTGGTTGTTGTTGTTGGCCACAGGAATAACACAAAGGCTTACCGCTGTAGAACTAAGGACACCGCATGATGGAAAGCCTCGCAAATGGAAATGTTAGTTCCAAATCAGATGTGGAAAGATTTTCGGTCCTTGAAGCTGCAGCACCTGCAGCTGATTTATGCATTCACTGTGTTTACATACTTCACTAAAAGGAATGATCCCTTTGTTCTTATGTATAATTGTAATATCCTACATAATATAGGTTAATACAGTAAAAATCTACCCAAGATAAAACATAGCTACATTTGTTTTTTAAGTGTCCATGTCCCAAAATGGACACACATTTTAACATTTTACCTTAGTGACCCCTGCAATGTCTTTAACTGTAGCTATAACTGTGGCTGTAACAGTCACCTTCATGTGTTCACTTATTGGGGTGATAACTCTGATTTAAATTATATTGATAATACAATTCAAAGACTTAAGGAACTTCAAGAATTTTCTTGCCATCAAAGAAAAGGAAAATGTGTCTTTGATGTAAGACAATAGTGGAAATTAATTTCCCATCAGCAGTATGTAAAATACTGAGGCTCTACCTCAAACAAATATAAAAGTAAAATTTACACAGAAATGCATCAGTAATAATAATCCAATAACATAATTGTATGAGACTCAAATGGCCCATTTTCCTACATGGAGTACTTTTACGTTTGATACTACATTTTATTAATAATACTTCGCTCGGGATAAAGACAGCAATTATAATTTGATGTCTATATCCCAAGAGAATGTAAATAGATTGTAGCTTCGATTTGACCCTGTCAATAGTATGTCCTGCTATGGAGTGCTAATAGGCTATGTCCTTTTAGGTGGCACACATTTTGACTTGCCATAGCAGGAAAAGGACAGGTGTGCCTAATTAACTAATTAGCAATGGCTCCATTCTATTTAAGTGTCCAAGCAATGCCATGCAATACCACCTAAATCAAACAGTTTAGCCTGTGTTATTGACATCATTTGATCAAATCAGTGTGTTTCAAGTCAACATATCTGTAGTGGAAAAATGTCAGTTGATTATTTAAGTTAAATTTAAGTTAAATCCACTTTAATGCAAGTAGGTATATTAAAAACACAACAACTTCTACCGCCTTATTAGAAACTTAAAGTCAGGTTATAATGGCTGCAAATTAACTCGATCAAAAGCAGGGGCAGCTTTATCAAATCCCACGTAAAACATGTTTCCTTAGTGCATGTAAATTATTATCCTGATGAGAAGAGGAAGTAAACACACAAGATAATGTGGCTTTAACTCCCAGCTCTCCTCCTCCAGAGAAAAATATGACATCACACAGCAGCGCAGCCAATCAGCGGGCAGCGAGCTCAAGCTGGAGGAGCCCTCTGTGTGCTCGTGCAGCTGGTGTGCATTTGCTTGTGTGTATGTGTGTGAGTGTGCGTGTGTGCGTGTCTGAATGCGAACAAGTTGCTATTATTTTTAATTTTTCCCAAACATCTTTGAATCAAGCTCTTGAAGTTAGCCGGGGGCTGCGGCGAGTGAGCCACCTTTCAGAGCCGCCCGAAGAAAAGAAAGTCTTTTCCACAACAACGGAGACTCCAATGAACAAGAAAATAACAAGTTTGCTACGTTACAGCCTTTGAAAACAAGCCACATCTAAAGTTACGCAGTTGAACGTTTGTCGGTGAATCATTGTTTAGACACAAGCTAACTTGAAGCTACAGGGTACCGCTGCTCGCGCTGTTGTTGTTGTTTTTTTTTAGTTTTTTTTTAGTGGCTGGCAGTTTGCAGCTCGCGTGCCTTCTTTTAAATGCGTAAAGTCGCTAATGTTTGCTAATGAAGTTGCGGTGAACGTCACATAAGAGAGTAATAAACACGTAATTGTAGTAGGGGATAAGCCATAAACTACTCAGAAAAAAAAAAATGCTAAAGACACTGACGAAGAAGCTAAGAAGACATTCCCTCAATGAGATACATCCTTTCCACCTGAAGGTAAGTTTGACTCACTCACTATTGGAATACTGTTATTCATTGAATGATGCTTTCTTTAAAGGCATAGGCTGTAGTTGTCGGGACGTGCTGCACTAAAATGCCAAGTACAGAAGAAGAAGAAATGGTTGTTTGTGAACTGCGTGGCTTTACTTTTGTCTTGTGACTTGTTCATTTGTAGGCCAGTTGACTGCGCAGCTTTTACACCCTGGGCTCAGTGCCTGTAACCTTGCTTGGAACAGGGTTATAGTGAGTTCATTAACGCTCCCTTTCTCTTTCTCTTTCACACACAGCCACACACCGTGACACGGCCAACATAACTGTGCAGATAGCCTGCCAGCCTGTGTGTTCTGCTATAAGCCTGTGTTGTCGTTTGGAGGTATTTTCTGCTCCCAAGCACCTCAACCCATTCATTAGCATGTTAGAAGGAATTGACTCTGTCCTGGCTTACAGGACCGAGCCAGATGTTTACAAGGAGGAACCGGAGATCCACACTGCTTCACAAACACATCAGCAAACATGTGGCGTGTCAACAAACTCTCCCACTCACAGATGGGACTCTCGCTGACTCATACACTGTATAGTTCAGCTGTTTGTCATTCCAGAAAGTAAATGGAGACAGTAATGAGTCCACAATTATTGTGCTGAGGTCTGTTGTGTGTAAGAGAGGATGATCTGTTGGAGGGTGTGAAACTAGTCCTGGTTCTTCATCTGCAGGGAGAGAGAGCCTGTAGCTTCTAGGTGGAAATAGCTGTGTGTGTGTGTGTGTGTGTGTGTGTGTGTGGTGGGCAATGGAATTCATTTAGATTAAAAACCAAACATTTCAGTAAAAGCCTTATTGTTGTGAGCTATTTTTGTCCCGGCATCTACATCTTTGCCCTCTAATTTTCCACAACAGAATCCCCAACTGTGCTCCTCAGTTGTGACTGCCTGCTCGCTTTACATAATGCCATCCACAATCCACAACAATATTGTGCGTCAACCAACTGTATAGTCGCATGGCAGCCATTTTGTGCCATCCAAAATGACTTTTTTTGGCTCCTGTGCCAGTGGCAGATACTACAGAACTGAGAAAGTTGACTAGCCAAAAATATTTCCTACCAGCCCTAAAACAGCATCATGCATTATTGAACTAACTTATTTGACTTTTTAGCTTCATAGTTGAGTCAGAACCTCGGGGGTTCCTGCGTCGTACAGTACGTTTTTTTTTTTTTTTTCATGTTTTTTATGGCAAAACATAGACACACATTGTAAAGAAAGTGCCAAATAGGAGTAAGCTGCTTTGATTTGATTGGTGGATGTCTCGATAGGTACAGTGAACACTGAGGGTCTCACATAAAAACCACTTTTGTGCTTCTTGCCGCACCTGATTCTTAGCTATGCCGTCGCATTCCCAAACCTCTGCGGAGTACAACGTTATTATTACTTTTTTTTTTTTTTTTTTTATATATTTTTTGGCTTTTATGCCTTTATTTGATAGGACAGCTGGAGATAGACAGAAAAGGGGGGCAGAGAGAGGGGATGACACGCAGCAAAGGGCCGCAGGTCGGACTCAGCCTCGGTACATGGGTCGCCAGCTCTACCCACTGAGCTAACCGGGCGCCCCCGAAAGTTATTATTACTGACAGGATTGATGTCCAAAACTACAAATGAAGTGGAACTGCCCTTTAAAGGGGTACTCCAGAGAGTTAGCACAGCACAAAGCTGGGTTGCAGGAAGGGTTTAAACTGATGCAGCAGAGATATCAAAGGTCCCCAAAATGGGTGTAGCTCCAAAAATGCTGGATTCCACATTTCCCATAATGCAACTCAACAGCAGCTTTTGTTGGACCCTCCCTTCATTAGAAATGCCCATGTCTTTCAAACTCCACGCCGCTAGCTTTTAACACAGGCTTTCTGTCATGTATCTGTGCTATAGGTAGCATTATTCTTTATTATTTTCTCAGAAAATATCCACAAAATGAATTCTGCAAGTATGAATGAACTATGTGCTTTATCTGGTTGAAAGAATTAGTCAGACGTGGAGGTGCTTTTCTTGTGAACAGACCACAGTTGAGTTGAAAACCTATTCTTAGTGTCAGCTCTCAGGAAACGTTGTGTCATTGAGGTGAATGTGATGAGCTCCTGTGTGAACTCTTCATTAGGGCTAAATATGGACAGCCATTATTTTCAATAAAGATGAATAGCAGGATTCTGATTCTAATTTTATTGGATTTTATTTTGAGGATTTGTTGCAGCATTATAACTTCCTTCCTGTCACATAGGGGCGGGCGAAAAATGCCCAAAATGATATCCCGATATCTCGAGGTATTTCTGCGATACTTGACGATATGAGAGAACTCCCAATAGCCGTTGAGCTCTCCTCCTGGGATTTCTGGCTGTCCTCGTACTCAGCAAGGTGCTTCTGCTCGATGCAGTGATATAAGTTTGTTGTTTTGTTCCCTTCGGTTGTTACAACCTTCTTTCACGTCTCACATATTACGGTGGTAAACCACGTCCACACTACTGAAGCGCTAACTCATCCACCACGGAGCAATTTTACTTTTGCTTTCAGTGTTACGGTATGACGTCAGTACCTCAACAATTTCCAGTATTGGCATTATCTTGATATGAATTTTAAAAATCCTATTAAAAATATAGACATATGTAAATGATAGGATAATGATCAATAAAGGCTTATTTTTCCCACCAGTTACTCAGATACAGTTGGGGTTTGAAGTGTCCTGCAGTGCTGAATGGCTGAATGTCTCGTAGGCCCTGTTACGGTACCCATCCCAGGAGCTTCCACTAATCAAGACTACTTCCACTCCACTATGGTGAAGATCCACTGGAGTGTGAGGGAAGGACCGTCAACCATCTCTGACCCCGTGTTGTGTGTTTTCACGAGAGGGGGAATGGAGTGTGACAGTGGCCGTGTCACAGCGTGGATGGACGGAGCAAAGCTGATATGTGTGTGAACTGGCTGGTGTGTGTGTGTGTGTGTGTGTGTGTGTGTGTGTACGCTGTGACATTGCCATTGATCCAGCTTAGCAAGCTGCTCAGCGATGCAAGGGACTGACAAGGATTTCATTCAACTGTTCTTGACACACAAACACACAACCCTTTGTTCGTCTTTGCGTGTGTGCACCAAAGCATTTTTTTATGCTCCGTGTGCGCACTCTCACTTTCACCTTGTTTGTGTGTCGATGATATCGAGCAGTCTGCAGTTATTGGCGTAAGACTGTAATATAGATTCAGTTTGACTTTGCACTCTATGAATTAGGATCCTGTGCATTTTTCTTCATGTTGCACTGGAGACAATCTGTACATTCATTTAAGAACTGCCATGTCATTTAGTCTCTGTCACTTTTCTGAGAATTCTCTCAAAAACGTTCAAATCAGATCAGAACACAGTCGAGGTTCTCTAATGCATGCAGAAATGTGCAAATGAGTGTCACACTTCATCGTTGTGATTAGTGTACCAATTTTAAAGATGATATACATTAATATAGTATACTGTACTGTTCTGGGGTCAGATTTCAGACGTCTAAATGGAGTTGTTCAGTCCTGAAAAACCTGGGACAATTGGGCAATTGTGGACAGCTCACAAGTGTGAGAAAAAGCTGGAAAGAGGCTGCAGGCGGGGTTGGTGCAGTTTCTCAGGTGCACTGCAGGGACATGTTGCTCCCACGGCTCACCTCAAACATCATTTGAATATTTCACATGCAAAGCAGCAGTGGAACCAAATTTAGTAGATGGACAAGATGATAACAAACTGTGATTGAGCTGAAGATAATATTTGAATGAGTTTTTCTTTCTTTTTAAAGCTAGTGCACAGATATTTCTAGGACACTAATGTGGAAGCAGCACTGGAGGGTCCTTCAGCTTCTTAAATGTCATCGTCACATTTGTTTCTTTCAGCTTGACATGTCTCCTCCACCACGGCTTGTTTTCACTGTGAATGCGATGCTGATGTGGGGAAGTGTGTGACACCGGAGTGTGTTTGTGCGCTTCACGTTTACATACTTGCGTTCTCCTTTGCATGTAGTTCCTTATCTTGGAGCGTAAATGTGTCGCTTGTATGCACCTCAACGGTCTTCATCGCTCACACGGCTGTGTTGCATGGAGTTGTGCCTTTGCAGAAATGCAAATTGCAGCTTACAACACTGACTGTTCTGGAGAAAAGGCAGTACCAATGCTTCGCTGCAGGGATTATAGTATGAGGCAGCCTACCCAGGTTGCAGTGCTGCAATCTAGGCTTAACCACAGTGTTTCTACAGGAGCTGGGAAAAAGACTGAAACACAACAAGAATACATGTGTGTCCTATAGTTATTGAAAGACATTGTCTAAACTTGTGTGTAAAGGGTAAAATGCAGATTACAGTGTTTCAGTGGAGCTGCTGGCTCTACATTGAATTTCTTTTTCCATAATAGTATATGTTGTGTATTTTAAGGTGAAGTTGCAGGCCATGTTTTAGAGCTGGAATGATGGTGAAACCCTGTTACTGCTTTTCTTTTGGGAAAGCCCTGCCAACCTGTCTAACCATAAACTCAACGTCAGTTAGGCTGCTGTTTGTTGGAGCTAGCTATGCAAAAGCAATAACCATATCAGGTGTGGTTCACTGAAAAAACACACTCACACTGCATAAAATGCACCCAACTCCTTACATTCTGATTTTAGATATCAAGTTTGCACTGTCTAGAAAACCCATGCATGACTGAGCCTTGAAACAGAACTGGGAATGAAACGTATTCAAATACTTGTACATGCACTCGGCCTTTGTTTCAGAGTCCCACATGAGATTTGCATGGGTGAAGTTTTTATGGTCTTTTGAAACGAACCTGCTCTGTATAGGAATTTCTAAGATGGCATGCTCGCCATTCAAGAGGTGGTTAGTGTTACAGTGCTAACGGTGTGTATGTGTGAAGTAAGGAAGTGGCTGAAAGTAGAAGGCTGTTGTGTCAGCCACTAAACACACAAACGTTGTGTCATGCTGGTTGGACACACTGTATGTGCATGCACACAGCAAACGGTGACAGAGCCTGGGACACATTAACAAGTCTTGTATTTGATTGTTAGATCATCAGTCCTGCGAGTGAGCCGCACATGTGCTGCATCTCTGTTCTCTGATCCTCGACCACGACCTCCCTGAGGGGAAGGGAAGGCCAAACCGTGCCTGTCAGCTCGTATTTGCCTCTAGTTGTACAGACAGTGATTGCTCTGTGGAGGAACTTCAGACTCTGAGGTCAAACAACACAAAGAAATTGCTGCGAACTCTCTAGCTTTAAAGGGTCAAATATCTAGGAAGAAATTAGACACAGACCATATGGGACTTTTGAGACAGGGACTTTTTACACATTACCAATATGGCGGCTGATTATAGTCAATCTTTCTATGTTGACTGTGCACCAATATGACTGTGAAAAGGTAGTCAGAAGGCTGCTTTCTTAAACAAATAGCATGCAGTTAACCTGCTACAAGGGGTCTTTAAGTGGTTATGAAGCAGTCTCTGTATTATTTGATGCCTCTATATGACCTACATAAACACACAGACCATCTGGCTATTTCAGCGTGCTTATTCCAATGGCTGACAGCGGGCTGAATTCAGTCGGATTCCCCTTAAAATCAATAAAACGTGGCGGTGGAAACACTACTGCTTTTATCCACTGGGGCCACCAAACTCAATACAAACAGTACTCCTTGTTGCTGCGTTAAATATTCTTTAACATTAAGGAATTGAACATACACATTGTCAACCACTTCTAGAGACTTCTCTTCTCTTTGTTCGGCAGTATATCTCGGAAAAAAACCGCGTTCATATCGGCGCATATTGGATAACGTACACCGACGCTGATACAGCACCGATACGTGTGCCATAGGTCAATATGGAGCAACCATTATATCAGTGAAGCTCTAGAAAATGATGAGTCATCCTGATGATCCCACTGAGCGTCCGCACAGGTTGAAATGTCTCAGACTGAACTCATGAATCCTTTGAATAGGATTTCAGCTGTTTGGTGGATGCTGCCCAACAATAATTCAGCGGAGTGTACGGTGTAGCTGAATCCCTGAGCCCGTCACTTGCCAAAATACACTTCCTTCCCACAGTTACTCCTCCGAGTCATTTTCCTATGGAGTTCATGAAGTTGTGCTGTTTAACTTGAGACTCCTCCAGAGCCAAGTTATTCTTTTCTTTGTGTTGTACACTGGCTGCAGGCCTGTTCATTGAGAATCTGTCCCACAGCTCGTGTACAGTTGAAAAGCAAGAAGGCTGTTCTCAGGCCTTATTCAGATCTAGTCAGAAATCAGGAGACCTACATACTGTCCTGAATATCTACATGAAACTGCATGTATGGCATCCTGTGAAAATATGCATTCACTTTGTCGTTACTTTAGGAAACTGAATTTCTGTTGATATGAAATGTTATTCCATTTTTGATACACAGCAATTTGACATTTGATGCGTTACAATTTCAAAAAGTGAGATACAGCTATGTGATGTAGCCTTTTGGTAGTGTTTAACCAGAATATACAGCGAACAGTCTGTGAAATGATACATTGGAGTTCACACGTCACATGAACTGAATACTGCCTGCCTTTATTGGGCTCAGAGGCCCTGGCTCCTTTCTCCCTTCTCCCTCTTATTGAAGAGCTTCAGAAAGAGGAGTGTGTGTGTGTGTGTGTGTGTGTGTGTGTGTTAGAGAGTAGAAGGGAGGACACTGTATGTTTGTGTGGATGTATGTGTGTAAGCATACACACACTCGCACAAGCACAGATGGCAGCTGCTCAGCGAGGCCTCGGAGTGGTAATTACTGAGTGTGAGGCGCATTACTTAACTCTTAGCGTTGCAGTCTGCAGGGTATCTGTATTGTTGCTACTGGTGTAGACGAGGAATTGATTTTAAAGAGACAGACGCTTCGGCTGTGGGAAAAGAAAGCAGACCGAGCCGTGACCCAACATGTCCTGTCTGCTAGGACTTTAAACATCTATACTGTATGTACGCTAGTGCAACTGTAGAAATCACCACGCCACAACTGCTTTTAGAAAAATTCAGACTGTTTCCATTAGAAGCCCATTAGAAGTTATGTCTGTGTTGCTGGTTAGTGGTCTGTTTTTGTGGCCAACTAAGAGAGTTGCAGAATAACACAGAGCTCTGGAGTTAGGAATAGTTTTAGCCTGTTTTGGATTAAATCATTTAAATGGTTAAAGGTTTGCTTTTTGATTGTTTGGAGAAAACGTCCTTTGTAATGTATCCTAGGCCAAATAAAATGTTTGAAGTTATATTTGTGTAATGTTCTTTACCACATTTTCACCAATGTAAGGGTTAATGTTTGTTACCATATGGAATGTTTGGTCTACAGTACAAGTTCAATCCTTTCCCCAGATTTCTTACCATGGCGGTGGAGAGGGAGGGGAGAGTGATGACTCAGAGGGGGAGAACCAGGAGCTTGCACAGATTGACAGAGGTAGGTGCCCTCTGCTAACGCAGTTATTTTAGTTGTAACTAGACGATGAAGAGCTTCCCCATCACTTTCTGAGTCTCACACATTACTGTTAGATGTTAAACAGATAATATGCTTGTGAACAACTCCTGTTGCTTGACTTCTTGTTTATGGACTCCTGTAGAGAGGCGGAGAAATTGTGCACTCACCCCCTTGGCCACCAGCCAGCAGCACAACCAGGGTCCCCTCTCTCCAGCCCGGTTACGCCGCCTCCGCCTCCTTTTAGACGCCAATCTGGATCGGCACTCCTCAGAGGAAGAGCTAGAGCGTATCAGCTGCGGCGACAACCGGAAGTGGATGTCCGCGCTTCCCCAGCGCCACGGCGACCACCACAGCAGCGCCTCCAGTGACGAGGAGGTGCGGGACCTCTGTGGCTGCGGGTCACCGGCTGCCTCCGCCAGACCGCTGGTGGAGCCGGGCGCTTGCTTGGCTGCCTCCCCCAGCCCTGTACTCTTCAGCTCCAGTCCACCACGTAGCCTCAAGCCACCCCCGATGCGCTTTCAGCTGCAGGTGGTGCAGCCAGTGGCCCGGCCCATCATTCTCACCCACTTTGACCAGTCAGCACCTTACAGAAAGTATCGGCACAGCTTTGGCGGGGAGCCGGGGAGGCCCAGTCTGGACCTGGAGAAAATGCAACAGGTTAGTAGACCAAGCTACAGTTAAACACCTCGCACCAAGCTCCGCCCAAAATATCAGCTTTGCAAGACGTTTCCCAATGTAACAACCTCTGCTGAACACATTCTGACCCCGCTATTGTGAAGGGCCTTTTTATGATTGACATATTATTACATAATATTATTAACGTATTATTAACTTAACAGTATGGAGGAAGAAATATTCCGATGCTTTACTTAAGTCACTGTAAAAAGACTCCCTTACAAGTAAAAATCCTACATAAAATATAAATTGACTTAAAGAATCAAAACTGTACGTACTCGGTGCAGAACGTGAGGGTGGAGGTGGAGCTACCTTAAATGCTGTTGTGTAGTTTAATCTGTCGCAATGCGTCATATTTTATAATCTCATATGTTTTGTAACAAGAGTTGTCAAATAAACATAGTAGAGAAAGAAGTACAATATTTGTGTCTGAGCGGTAGTGGAGTAGAAGTGTGAAGTAGCATACAATGAAATGAAGTACTGAAGTGAAGTTAAAGTGAAAGTTCCCTTCCACCACTGCAAAATGACCACACAGTTAAGATGTCAGGGCAATTAGTAACTGATTATAGATTATTACACTAACTGTCTGACTGTGTATGTCTCGCCTACTCTCAGTATGGTGATTAGCTTGGAATACACCTTAATTCTGGTTAAGTTGGATTGCTCATTCTGCACGTTCTTCTGCTACACCCGGTGGTATGGTGGTGCTTTCCTCCTTTCAAATACCTCACAGGAAGCCTTTCCATGTCTAAAACCCATTTCAGCATTAGTTGAAGTGTATTTTTTAGCAATATAAATACAATTGTTACACTATAACTCAATACTGAACTTGCCACTGTAACAATATTTGTATTCCACTGAAATATATTAAAAGCACCAAACAGCAGATGAGCCTTACACTACCCCCCTGAACAACTCAAACAGTTATGTTTGGTCCAAAAATACAATGATGTCCCTGCAGTCTCATCGGCTACCCTGCTCACACACACACACACACAACACACACCACACACACACACACACACACACACACGGCCACAGAAATGTGCACGCTCGCACAAGCAAACAAAGTCTTCCCTTTCCATAGCCGGACGCCCGCCACCACGGTGGTCTGGCTGGAGAGGGATGAAGGAGAGGGAGGCACGGACGGCAGATGTCCGCCCTCGTTTCTCACAAAGGCTGGCAAGCGAGGGGAAACGATGGAGGGGTGGAGGCAGAAGGAGAGGATTAAATAAACAACAGAAAAACGACAGCCACTAATGAGTCATGGAGAAGCTGGTCCACTAATCATTAAAATCCAATAGACTTGTTGGCCCACACCGTGGATGGGAAAGGGTGTGTGTGTGTGTGTTTGCAGAGAGAGAAACTGCAGGTTTCAGGGGTCCATATGTCCATGGGGTTTTTAGAGGGAAAGAACAGATGATGAGAGACAGCGGGCAGCAATGACAGGGGTGAAGAGAAAAAAAGAGGGAGTGTGTGTGTGTGT